GCCGCACTTCAAGAGGGATGTGGACAACATGGAGAAGGTCCAGAGGAGAGCCACTCGCGTGATCGGGGGGCAGCAGGGCAGGCCCTATAAGGAGAGGCGATGGGACCTGAACCTGTTCAGCCTCCACAAGAGAAGGCTGAGGGGGGATCTAGTGGCCTGTTACAAACTAGTCAGGGGGGACCAGCAGGCACTGGGGGAGTCCCTGTTCCCCCAAGCACTTCCAGGAGTGACCAGGAATAACGGTCACAAGCTGGCAGAGGGTAGATTTAGGCTAGATATCAGGAGGCGCTACTTCACGGTCAGGGCGGCTAGGGTCTGGAACCAACTTCCAAGAGAAGTGGTGCTGGCTCCTACCCTGGGGGTCTTTAAGAGGAGGCTAGATGAACACCTTGCTGGGGTCGTTTGACCCCAGTACTCTTTCCTGCCATGGCAGGGGGCCGGATTCGATGATCTGCTCAGGTCCCTTCCGACCCTAGAAACTATGAAACCTCTGGAGATCCCTTTCAGCCCTACTTCCTTCTATGTGCTCAGGGCCACCTGGCAAAGCAGTGTGAAACTGAGAACTGAGCCCAGGTCTTCTGAACTGCAGTGGAGATACTATCCACTATGCTACAGCGTACCTCCACTATCCCAGGTACCCACCACAGGCAGCTATTCCAGCTTCTATGTCACACTAGAAGCAAACAATGCAGCATACCTGGGAAGGTAAATTTTTTGGAGGTTCAATTCGAATTGATGGATCCCATTCTCCAGGGGGCAACACTGTCACCTGATCTAGAAATTCATCAATACCAGCCACAAGGTCCCCACGGTCTTTGGCTTTATAAGCAACGTCATGGAAAATCTGTAAGAGATTAAGATATGCCAAGATTAGGGAGGGAAAATTTGAGGCAGGGAAGGATGCATCCAAGTTCTCAGGGCAGGTCATGGCAGACCTGGAAGCAGGCCCCAGGTTTTCCCATGTCCCATTTCAGCGCCTAATCGTTCCGCCACGTGGCCTTCGTTGAGTATCAGTGAATAATAACAATGGGGTAGGTTGTCATAAGACCGGGTCAGCAAATGTTGAGTTTTTCCCTTCCCTCCAGGAAAATGTTGAGTTTTCAATGAGAAAAAAATCAAGCCCCAGCAACACACAGAAAAGCACTACAGTACCTCATTGGACTTGTAGTTTTAGCCCCACTGCTCTTTATTTTCCTTTATATAGGCCTGGATCCCTGCATGGACTACATCTCCTATGGCAGGGGTGTGCCAAATACAGCTCCAGATCTGGCCTTCCCATCTAATTCTATCCAGCCCAGCCCAGGTGCAGGGAGCAGCCCAGGCCATGGTGTGTGCGGCCACTCCGGCCATCCCCAAAATGTACCAAGTGCAGAGGTGCAGCCCGCCCTATCCTCGCATGCTCCTTATCCCTCTCCCTGGCCCTCAACAGCTCACCAAAAGTCCTTAAGTGGCCCTTCATCCCAAATAGTTGCCCACCCTTGTCCTAAGGTGCACCGCTTCCAACCAGCCTTGCTCCACACCTACAGTCCAGGCCACTATTCCAAATAGGCCCTTCTTGAAAATCCAGTCTACTCATTTTTGATGCCTAAACTGGCAATTACAGCCTTTTATGTCGGCAGCTGGGGAAGTTCATGAACGTCTTGACTGGTCTATTATCCACCCATCCTTCCCTCACCTTTTCTTCTCATCAAAACAGCACAGATTCAGCCTGCAATCTGCCTGTTTCTACCCTTCACCCGGAGGACTACGTGAAGGTGATTTAGCTGAAGAAAGAGAACAAGGAAATGCTAAAGAGAAGAGCCGGTAATGAGCTCCAGCATTATACTGTACCTCGTCTGTCATGAGGGTAGCCATTGACCTGCCAATCTCATGGTACTGATGAGCCTTCCCTTCTGGTCCCAGCAGGATAAACAAGAACCTGTTCACAAGGAGAAGAAATTGTCTGAAGAGCAAAAAGAAATGGGCAGGGAGTTCTGAATGGATCTCCATGTCCAACTGGCATTCACTGCAATAGGAGAGAGCCCATGACTTCCATTGACTTCCAGTGGAAATAGGGCACCGGAGCTGCCCTTACTGTCTCGGAAAATCTTCCCCTGGAATGGCATTGCACAAGCAAAACTAAAATTCAAGCCATTCACTGGATTTCTAACAGAAGTAGTATCCTTCCAGGGAGCTGATAAGTACTGTTTCAAGCCCATCCGGGCTTTGAACTAAATTACCATTAGGAAATGAGGTCATTTTTAAATGTCAAAATAAACCCGCCGTGAACTTCCCTTACCTGGTTGGGATAGGAACTTCTGTCATGCCCGAGAGGAGGACGGCGGGAGTTAGGCGCACAAACGCCACGATGGGACGAAGGAGAAAATCCAGCTCGCCCACCAGAACATTGGAAGCTTCTGCCCCAGTGGGAATTTTCTTCATGAAATGCAGCTCAGCCTGATCCGGGAGCACAAGTCACCAGACAAATCAGTACCAATCAAATAATGGGCAAACCAAATCCCCAGATCAATAATAAGTCTCTCTCGGACCTGACTCACGCACAGTTGTTATTGATTTAACTGCTATATTTTCTTGTATACCACCCACACCTCCATATAAGACCCGTGCCCTGTTTTGGGACGGCAGAATGAAGAAAAAAAAACAGATGCGTCAGAGTCATAGCAGCACTGAGCAAGGGAAAAGTCTATTTGCCAGCGTTGCATGCCCTCCTCTTCCTACTGAGCCAAAAGCTAGAGGTTTAACCTTGTCGTAGCCCTTGCCAAATTTTTGGTTGCTGGTCCAGCAGCGGCTGCGGCAAGGTTAAACCTCCAGCTTTCAGCTAAGCAGCTGACTCATGTGGCCAGAAGCGGGCCTGCTTCCAGCTGTGGTTGTAGAGTCCCCGTGCACTTAAAACACCCACCCCAATGTCAGAGGGCTAGTTTTGGAAAGAAAGCGCATGCGGTATGCAAGTAAGTGCAGTATTTCAGTTAGAACAGGGAGTGATTTTCCACCCACATAGTTCAATAGACATAATCTCTGGTGCACAAGTGGTTATACCCATGTAATGATGCCTAAGGGTCTGGTTCGTGTGGGAAGGTTTTTTCTGTATGATCAAAGAGTTAATTTACACCAGTCAATTCTACCAGCTTTATCTACTCATCCATACGGGCACTTTTATTTTGGAATAAATGCCCCAGGTGGAAAGGGATTTAACTTAAATTGAAAAAACAAAAGCCCCTTGTTCTTCGGGAACGGTAGGCTGTACCTGCCCGACGATAACCGTGTAATTCACTGATGGCTGACTTCAGTAGCGGCAGAGTTCGCCCCGCAGGAGGCAACAGTGCCCAAGCAAAAAGGCACAATGTCACAAGAGCTCAGCACCAGATTTTCAGACCCCCTGCACCCAATATTAGTCTGATTTTCAGCAGCCTTTTACTTCCATTAAGCACACAAAGCTAAGGACAGGGGCTGCCTGCCTGTAGGGGAGAGCCTACCTGCCTTTTCCGCGGCCGGGGAGGTGAGCTACTGGTGGGCCAAACAGTCCCTGACCTGAGGGGGGCCCTGGTCCTTCCCTCCATGGTGGTGGTGCCCCCCGAGACCACCCAGCTGGACTGCTAGCAGGTGAGTGCTGCCCGGGGGGTGCTGCTACTGCAGAGGGAAGGACCAGGCCCCCCCCCACAGCTCAGAGCCCACCAGCAGCTTGCCTGCCGGCCACAGAAGAGGCAGGAAGGCTCTGGGAGAAAAAAAAAAGATCAGGCCCCTTGCCACTTTTTTCTTTTTTTTCCCCTCAATGGAGCCATCCTGCATGAGCTGCTGCTGGGTTGCACAGCCCTTGAGCTGCACGGGGCTTGGTGCCCCCCCCAGGACCACCAGGATGGGGTGCTAGTGAGCGGGTGCCGCCTGGGAGGTGCCACCACCATGGAGGGAAGGTCTGGCGTCCCCCCCCCGCAGCTCAGGGGCTGCTTGGCCTGCCAGCAGCAAGCCCCCTGGCCATGGGAGAGGCAAGTAGGCACCAGTGCCCCGTGCACCAGCCCTGAAGCCTTCCCACCACCTAGGACCATATGGGAACAGGCTGGCTTGCCCCTGGGCCAGTGTGGCCAGGCAGCAGGAGGGCGGCTGGGTGTGCTGGTGGAGGAAGAAGGCGGTGGGGATGGTGCACAGGGCACTGGAAGCCCGCCAAGCCCCAGCTTCCCCAAACATGTCTGGGCTTCCAGCACCCCATGCACTTTGTTACACAGCAAAATAAAAGACATCGGATGGGTTTTACCTTGCTATGTAACAAGGTCATTTAAAGTGAAACACTGTACATCGTGTACATCGTGGCAACATTAAAGTGAAATACCCTGCCGCAGGTGTAAACAGTGATGCCATTAAAGCAGGGCAAAAGGGCAATTAAGCCACTTTAAAGGCCAACTTTGGCACCTGTACAAATGCCCAGGGTTTTCAAAAGCAATTCTCCTTGCCACATGGGCAGCCAGATTGTCAAGAGGGCTTTTCTCCTGGAGCATCAAGTTCTCAACCTATCTGGGCTAGTAGCGTTAAGTCTACAACTTGCATTTCCTTTATGCAGCATCTCACTCACCTTGCTTAAATCCATAGGGCTTGTATCATGGTTCACTCCATTCTTCATCTCTAGAGTGGTAGATGGATGGGGAGACAACAGGTGCATGGCTGAAAGGGAAAAAGATAGCACCAGTCAGACAATGAGAGGAATCATATTTTTTTTTCTTAATTCTAACAAGCAATAAAAAGAAACGCTTAGAGTCACCTTACTCTGGTTCCCCTAGATATACCCATTATAAGCAGGGCTGTGCAAAATTTCAACAGCCATTTCATTTCAACACTGTTTCAACTCATTTTGAGGTTGAAACAGCAAAATCCAAATGAAACAAAAGCCGTTGAAATAGCCTCGAAACAAAACGAGGCTAGTTGAAACGTTTCAAAAGCCAAAACATTTCGACCATAGTGCCGGGGACGGGATGTCAGTCCAGCTGGGATGACTTCCCAACCCTGGTACAAGATCTGGCAGGGGGCGGAGAGTCAGCATGGAGGATAGCAAGGCAGTCCAGCTGGGCTGCCTTACCGCCCCCGGCTGGGGTTGGGAACTCAGTGAAACAATGAGGCTGTTTCGACTCGAAATTATATTTGATACAAAGCACTGTTCCATCCAGACCTCGAAACTGAAGTCAGAACCAGTGCCATCTCGCACAGCCCTAATTATAACACATGTTGTTACTCTGTAACCTCCTGATAAATGAGAGCTGCATGCACATTACACAATCACCCCTTCTTTCTAATAAGCATCCATGTTTATTAATAAAGAGGTGGCTTACTTATTGATGTGGCCAGTCAAGGTCAACACTGCTTCCTGCACTGGTGATAGGACTTCAGCTGCGAGGTCCCTTATGATAGGTTTATACCACATCCTAGGTCCAATCTCTACCAAGCACTTCCCACCTGCCTGCTTCTGCTCACACATGGCAAAACTGCTCCAGGGTCAGCCCCTATGACCCCTCTTGAGACCTCAGTTCCCCAAATGGCTTCATTGCCACATGTCTACCACATCTACATGTGCACTTTAATTTGCATTAGCCTATTTTAATGTGCATTAAAGTATCACTAATTAAGTATCACTGCTGTTTAGGCTAATGCACATTAAGTGTCACTTAAAAACCATGCTCTTTAGTTAATACACTTTAAGACAAGCTAATTCACAGATTCATAGTACCTCACAATGGATACTAGATTTAATGCACGTGAAGTAAAGCATGTTAACGCACATATAGACGCGCCCCCGGTTTGGTGTGTGCAACTCCGAGTAGATATGTGGAGGTATGGCAGTGAAACACACCAAGGATACAATGCAGATCCATGCTCAGGCTCACTCACAAAGTCCGGGTGAAAAGGGTATGGGTGCCCAAAGAAACACCCCTCACCTGTCTTGTCCAACAAGTGTGGATCCGACTGTTTCTTGGCAACATCTGCGAAAGAGCGGACAATTGGGAGGAGATTGTTCCTCTTCTTCTCATTCTGATGGTGGTGCTTCTTCAACAGGGCCTCCCGCACTTTCACCCGCATGCTTTCATCAAACTCGCTGGACTGTTCTTGCTGATCCAAAATCATATCTAGGGGGAAAAATAGGTTCTCTGTCCTGCCCTGAAAGTTATTACCTATTGTTTGTATTGCAGGATTGCACCCTCCCCGAGTGCCACAAAATAAGGCCTGCACCCTTCCCAAGTGCCATGTCGATCCCCTTCCCTTACCCAATCTGCTGCTCTACTTTCTGCTCCCTGCCCCATCTGCCACCGTGCTGCCTGTCATATCCCTGGTCTGCCACATGCCACGGCTGCCCATGTCACTTGTGGCATGAACCACAGATGGCCCACCCACAACATAAGACAGGAGGAGGAGACAGGGACTGAAATCCTGACCCTATTAAAGCCAAGGGAAGTTTTGCTGTGGCCTTCGATACAGCCAGAATTTCAGCCTAAGAATCACTATCTGGCCCAAAAGAGCCAAGGTAGCCCACTGAAGTGCTAGAACAAAACCTGTCCTCAATGCAATATACCCACAACAAGATTGCACTCTGGGAAAGATAGTGTTGCCATTCCCAAAGGACACAGCCAGCTAATGCCAAAACTATCCTATTTAGCAAGATTATTGTAGCACTGTCAATATATCTTTGTCTTTTCAAGGAAAGCAAGAATTTTCCTTTGCTAAACCATCAGTGAAATTGTTCTTCATTGCTTAGCAAATGCTGTTATGTCCCTTCCTAGATAATGCAATTTTCCTCCCTGATCTGACCCTTATTGTATTACTCCACACATTTAACCCAATTATAAATAATCTCTAACACAATGTTTCCCTGAGATTTCTTGGGTAATTGGCTGTAATTGGGACCACTTTGGGAGGAATGTGCTAAGAATGAGACTGACATCATCTGCGCTTTCAGAATTTGAATGGAAAACCGCCAGTCAAAAAATTTCAACAAAGCTGCTTTTTTTTCAATTAACCTCAATTATTTTCTCAACAGAAATATATGACTTGGTCATCTGCCAAAGAAGCATTGGCTTTGAAACATGGAGAACTCAGACAATTCAGAGCAGTTTGGATGTTAAGAGAGAACAAAACCAAAGGGAATCATGTAACCAATAGTTTGCTTAATCAACTTCACCTCTTTTTCTGATTGCAAGCTGTCCAGGCATACTTCTGCTAGACGAGTGGCACAATAAGTGATTATACATCTTGCTCTGCTAGCTGAAGTTATTCTCAGCATCATCTTTCTGAATAATTCTGCAACTTGCTTGGCAAGGTACCTTACATACATTACGTATGGCACGCACTTCCTCACCCCCCAAAAATTAGCAGTTGAAAATTGCAGCGTGTGCCTTAAATCAGGATTTAAGCAATTCTGAGCAGTTTGGTTAAAAGTATTTTCTTTTCTTCATGCTGCCTTTCCAACAAGGCATGTGTCTTATTTGGGGAGGGTGGTATATGAATAAATACAGGGACTCAATGTGGAAAACTGATGGTCTTATGACCTTCATCTGTGCAGAGATTGGAGAAGTGTAATCAGAACTCTGCAGACTGCAAATCTGAAACGTGAAATCTGTGAATGATCTCATATAGACCTGTTGCTTCAAATGTACTCTTTTTGGCAATGCTCAGACCCATCAGCGCATTGGCTAAAATAACTGCAGGGATAAAAATGATGCAAAGGGAAGCCAAAGTCAGAAATGAAACCAGGACACAAATCCCACGCTAGAGCAGTACCTGCGATTTCTTCGATGCTGCTGGCACACATATCCAGGAGGACTGTACCGTTCATGATGCAGCTCCTCAGCTCAAAGAGGCTGTGTAAGGACAGCGTAGCAACGTAAGGCTTGCTCCACCGTTCCCCTCCATCCTCCACGTCCTCCTCAAACTTCAGCCACCTGGAAGTATTACAAATCAATGCAAATAAATACCTGTGGGAGCTTGCTTCAATCACAAGACATTTAACCTGGCCAAGCATTGGAGCAGGCTACTTAGGGAAGTTGTGGGATCTCCATCCCTGGCAGTTTTCAAGAGCAGGTTAGACAGACACTTGGCTGGAACGGCTTAGTCCAGTTGATCCTGCCCTGAGCACGAGACTGAGCTCGATGACCTCGAAAGGTCCCTCCAAGCCCTACGTCCCTATGATCCTATGAGTGTAAAGCACTTTCTAGGGGTGAACAACCAAGCCACCGCACAGGTCCCTCAATCAATGGGGAGCTTCACTGGGAAGGTCAGGTCACATCTATAGGGGAGCAGTGCAAGGCGTCCAACGTACAGGTGAGAGGAGGGAGGGACCCAAAGAGGATGGAGCTGGGCTGTTCTCAGTGGGGGCAGATGACAGGACAAGGAGCAATGGGCTCACGTTGCAGCAAGAGAAGTTGAGGTTAAATGGGAAGAACTTTCTCAAGAGGAGGCTAGCGAAGCATTGGACCAGGTTACCCAAAGAGGTGGTGAAATCTCCATCACATCCAGTGCTCTCCCTGCATTTGCAGAGCCTGTCTTCTCATCATAGAAGGCAATCAGGCTGGTCAGGCATGACTTGCCCCTGGTGAATCCATGCTGACTGTTTCTAACCACCTTCTTCTCCTCCAAGTGCTTAGAAATGCATTGCTCGAGGGTCTGCTCCATGATTTTTCCAAAGACTGAGGTGAGGCTGACTAGTCTGTCATGTCCTGGATCCCCCTGCCACCCTTTCTTAAAGATAGGAGTTACATATGCCCTTTTCCAATCATCTGGGATCTCTCCCAATGATCACAAGCTTTCAAAGATGATGGCCAGAGGCTCTGCAATCACATTGGCCAACTCCCTCCACACCCTTGGGTGCACTGCATCTGGTCCCATGGACTTGTACATGTCCAGCTTTTCTAAATAGCCCCTAACTTGTTTTTTCACCACTGTTGGCTGCTCAGCTCCTCCCCAAACTGCGCTGCCCGGTGCAGTCATCTGGGACCTGAGCTTACCTGTGAAGACTGAGGCAAAAGGGCATTGAGCACTTCAGCCTTTTCTGCATCCTCGGTCACAAGGTTGCCTCCCCCATTCAGGAATGGACCCACACTTTCCCTGAGCCTCCTCTTGCTACCGACATCCTTGTAGAAGCCCTTCTTGTTACCCTTCACCTCCCTTGCTAGCCGCAACTCCAGTTGCGCTTCAGCCTTCCCGACTTCATCCCTTCATGCCCAAGCAATGCTCTTATACTCCTCCCTAGTCATTTGTCCCAGTTTCCACTTCTTGTAAGCTTCCCTTCAGCTCAGTGAAGAGTTCCCTGCTAAGCTAAGCTGCCATCTGCCGTACTTGCTAGTCTTCCTGTGCATCAGGATGGTTCATGCCTGCACCTTCAGTAAGGTTTCTTTAAAATACAGCCAGCTCTCCTGGACTCCTCTCCCCCTCAGACTGGCCTCCCAGGGGATCCTGCCCATCGGTTCTTTGAGCAAGTCAAAATCTGCTTTTCTGAAGTTCAGGGTCCGTGCTCTGCTGCTCTCCTTCCATCCTTTCCTCAGGATCTTGAACTTGACCATCTCATGGTCACTGCTGCCTAAGTTGCATCCACTCCTACATCCCCCACCAATTCTTCCCTGGTCGGGAGCAGCTGGTCAAGAAGAGCATGGCTCCTAGTTGGCCGCTCCAGCACGTGCACCAGGACGTTGTCCCCAGCACTCTCCAAAAACCTCCTGGATTGCCTCTGCACTGCTGTATCACCCTCCCAGCAGATGTCAGGGGGACTGAAGTCCCCCATGAGAACCAGGGCCGGTGATTGGGAAACTTCTGCTAGCTTTTTGAAGAAAGCCTCATCCACCACTTCCTCGTGGGCTGGTGATCTATAGCAGACCCCACCACGACACCACCCTTGCTGCTCTCCCCTCTGACTCTAACCCAGAGACTCTCAACAGGCCTGTCCCCACTTTCATACTGGAGCTCTGGGCAATCTTATGGCTCTTTTACATGAAGTGCAGCTCCTCCTCCTCTTCTCCCTTGCCTGTCCTTCCTGCACAGTTTGCACCCATCCATGATAGCAGAATCCACAGTGTCAAACCTGGGCCTGGGGGGAAGCCTTGATGGTGAGCGGTGCTGCCTGGACAGACACCTCACAGGTGCTGGCAGCGGCAGCAGCTCTGGCATTGTGATGTCTGGGTCTCTTAATCCGCCGCCTCTCTTCCTGCCCCTTTCTCCAACCAGGCCTTCCCTAGCAAACTCCCCCAAGAAGGAGTAGAGGCAAGAAGCTGGGTACAGAAGTGTCAGAAGTCAAATGCTGGCTGACTCCTGCATGTTTAGGGGAGCAGCAAGCACGAGTGAAGCCTGCTGTCGGGCTCTGACAACCAGAAATGTTTCCAGTGCAAGCTGGACTGCAGCTGGGGGATGAGATGAGGGGTTTTTTTCAGGTTGGTTGGGGTAGAGGATGGGACTGGGAAAAGCAGGAGGCTGCTGTATAGGCACAACCTAAGGACACATCCAGACGAGCACGGGTGTGCGGTACGTGGTGCTGCAAACACGTTTCAGTGCCACATACCGCACAGTCCAGTGCTCTCCGCACTGCAAGGGTGCACTGCCCGAGTGTGCGCCGTGCCAGGTTTTTTTTCCGTGGGTTTTTCTGACCCTTGGATATTCAGGGGTCAAAAAAAATGAGGGAATCAAAGGGTGCAATGCCCACGCAATCAGCGTGTGCTGCTGAAAAGCAGCGCCGGGCCACCCAGAGCCGTGCCGCAACTGCCATCCAGGCTCCACACACCCAGGACCCCAGGGAAGGCTGCTGGGACCATTTCCCCGGGGACAAGAAGCGGCAGTGCAAGGTGTGCCACCGCTACTTGTCCCTGGGGAACCAAACATCCATGCATGTCTAAGTGACTTGGCCAAGGTCATACAAGGAGTTTGTGGCAGAAGTAAGGGATGGTATATTGGTCTCCCATAACCCTGGGCTATCCCTTCTTCCCTACATCTATCCATGTCAGGGAACACAGCGGTGCTGCTACACAAGGACTTGGCTGATTTACTAACGAGAGGAAAATGAGGCCTCGGGAAAGCTACATTCACGCCCCTCTTCCCCCAGCAGGGGGAGTCACTTGACAGCAAGTCGAGGAGGTGGCACCGCGGCAGGGCTCACCCAGTTTCCTTGGGCGAGTGGGGTTTAGCGCTTTGCTCACCTGGCCGTTTCCTTCCACTCTGTGTCCTCCCCCTCCTTCACACAAATCTCATCCAGCTCCGTGAAGAGGTCATGGGGGACGTGCTCCTCATCCTCCTCAGTACCAAGGATAAACCGAACTCGCTGAGACGGGGTGTCTACCGAACAAAGGAGAATTAGAGCTGCGTCTCCTGCGACCGCACTACAACATCAGCAAAACAAAGCATTTGGTGGAGGTAACAGAAACATCATGTCAAAGGCACTTGGTTTCAACCTGCCCCACGAGTAGGGAAATAAATGCAACATTTGCATTATGCCTCCAGTGTCTAGGATGTTAGCTCTGTTTTCAGTCTGTGTTTGCATTGTATGTAATACCATGGGGGCCTGGTCCATAATCAGGTTCCTGGTTACTGCCACATTAAAAAAGAAGAATTAGAAGGGAAATAACACTAAATGTTTGGCCGACAGAGCCGTACGGTAAAACCTCATTAACTCAATATCAGGTAGTTCAAAGTGTTGGGATACCTCGAAGCTACTGTCACTCCCCAGCTGACAGGACAGATTTTTTTTCTTACTTTATGATCATCTGAAATACAGCTACTTCGAAATTCAAAGCCATTTTCTGGTCCTTTGGACCATTAACCCATGAAACCCTGTTTGTTTACTTCAAAATGCAGCAATACTTTATAGATACCACTGCAACGTTAGTCTGCAGAAATGGAGATATCGCATGCCCTTTTCTAGCTCGTGGCCTTGTACGCCATGCACAGCAAGATACTCCAACTCTGCTTGATAATGTGCTGGTTATTTAACATGGCCTGAACTGTAGGTACCTGACGTTTTCAGCCATGTCCAAGTCCAGCAGGGGTGAGCATCATGGCAATCAAAGGGAAATCTGAGTTCCCAATTTCCCAGAACTTGACAGTGACACACAAAGTAGATAAGAAAGTGAAATACAGCGTGGAAATTGCTAAAAAGTATGGCATTCTTCCTTTCATACTTTTGACGTATTTGAACAAGTGGGATTCAATAGAAAAGATGGCACAAGAAGACGCCGAGCTGGGACGAGGAGAAGAATCCAAGGTGCCAAGCATTCAGATATAGAGAAAGAAGTGTTCAAGCGGTTTTGTGATACGGGAGCAAATACCATCCGCTACCTGAGCTGCTAATTCAGGAGAAAGCAGGCAAAATTGGGCTGAAGCTAGGAATCAAGCTTCAGTTTTTGAATGGTTGGCTCCAGAGTTTCCAGGGTCATCACAACGCTATTTCGCTCGGCATACGTGGCAAAGCATATTTCATCCATGCTGTGGCTGCAGAAAATTGGTGTGAAAGTGTGAAGCCAATTCTAGATAAAAAGAAACACACTCAAGGACATGTTCAATGCTGACAGGACTTTTTTATAACCTGCAGCCTGATAGGACACTGGAACTTAAAGGAGAAATGTGTCCCAGTGGGAAGAAAAGCAAAGAAAGACCTGCATTATTCAGCTGCAACGCTGATGTAGTGAAGGGCTAGTAGAAGTTAGAAAATCCCCAGCGCTCGAAAGGGGTGAAAGAACGGCCTGGCCTGTACAGAGCCAACAGAAATGCTTGGATGAAGACTGAGTTGTGTCAAGAAATGTTGCTCCAATCTGAACATGGCATGCCAGCACCAAAATGTGCTTCTACTAATTGAGAACTGTGTGGCCCACAATTGGGAAGGATTGAGCCTGAACCATATGTGTGTGCCCTTCCTCCCAGCAAGCACCTTGAGCTACGTGCAGCCCCTAGACCAGGGCATAATACAGCACATTAAGAGGGCAAGCCGGAAACAACTGGTGCGCTATCTGCTGAGAGAAGTTTCCAGGGATGCAACAGATCTGCCAAAACGGAAAGTTTTCGAAGCTATGAGAAACGCTGTCGTTACGTGGGATAAAGTGCCAGCGCACGTCATCGCGAACTGCTCCGCAAAGGACAGCGTTGGCACCAAGGCTACCGAAGAAGCTGATCCTGCCTGGGCTGAGCTTCAGGGAGAAATGGGCGGTCCCACTAATTTCCAAGAGTTCTTCAGTGGTGACAATAATGCATCAACTTTCACAGGAGGAAATGGTAAAAGAGCAAGTCAGGACACCCCTGCGGAGGAAGACAGAAAAAAATGCAGAGGGGGAAGAAAACAAGGAGCTGGAGTCTGAGCGAGCACGTACGCCATGGGAGGAGGATTAATGAAACTCCTGCTAAAAACCAGCAACTGTCTCCATGACTAATATCAGAAGATGGTCAAGCGGACCACGATAAACTCGTCCCTTAAGAAGCTGTGAGAAACATTATACAGGTATTATACCATGGCTTTGTATCATAAAGACAGAGTACCGTCATTTGGAGAATTCAAACCCGTTTATTTTGTCATTGGTATCTAGTGGTCCCCTGCGCTTTCAATTAAGGAGGACAGGCTGAAACCAAGTCTCGTTTTCCTCTCCATTGTTTTCAGTTTCAGGCCAAGATACATACCTGATCTGGGGAATATCAGAGCTAATGCGCGGCGTGCTGTGGTTCTGCAAAAACGTTCTGAGCGAAATATTGGAGAGAGGAATTTTACAGCAGAAATGCCTTGCCAAACAATGATGGGCCAATAGAAAGAAAGAACGAATAAAAGAACGAATGAAAGAACGAACTAACGAACCCACTGATCAAGGACAGGGTTTCAGGAGTGTCCAGCTACCGTATAAGCACCTAGATAAGAAGGTGGGCGCTGAGTTGCTTCAAAAATCTCTTTGTAAATGCCAAAACAGAGCGAATTGAGGGAAACTCGAACTGATTGAGATACTTGATAAATCCGGATCCGAGTCACTATCCAAGCTCCACGAACAGGGTGCAGGTTTCGGCTTTTTTTTTCCTCAAAGTGATGTTCTAGCAAATAGATTTACACTAAATGCAAACACAGTAAAATCCCACTGTTTGTCATGGCAACAGCTCAAAACCCCAGTCAAGTTTGGTCATGAATAAGTCATAACAGCGGTGACCTTTCATTTCTCTCTCTGCCTTTTCTGCAAACGCCGGCTCTACTCCACAGACTTCTGCTGGCATAGTTATGTCAGTCAGGGCTGTGAAAAGATATCAGATCTGCTCAACTGAGCTGCGGGGCAAAATCCCTATTGTGGCTATTGCGAAAAATCTGGCTCTATTCCAGAGCAACTGAATTCAGACTGATGCTCTTACAGGGGTGAGCTCGGATAACGGTACTGACTGAAGCTCCTGGGTTCAACACCACCCATGGCCATGGAAGCAGCAAGACCGGACTCTTACATGCCCCCATTAGCTACCCAAGCTGAGCTTCCACCTTCCAGCGCTGGACTCGATGATCTTCCGCGGTCCCTTCCAGGAAAGCTATGAAACGCCCGCTCATACTCCGATCGCAGGTTAACTTACCATGAGATTCCTGCTCTTCCTGAACCGCTCCCTTCGCCCGGTCCCGTTTCCTGTGCTTTTGGCCATGAGTTCGGTGATGCCTGTGACCCGGTCTCACCAAAGGCATTCGGACCCCAACATACAGAGTTCTGTGCCCTGGAACAAAGCAGAAGGATTTGCTGGTAATAAAAATACGGTCGTGACGTCACCGGGCTTTTAAACGCAGCCGCCCCTCATAATTTGCCATGTTCAAAGGCAGTTAAAAAAGTCAACCCAAGGCTCTTGGGCTATACGGTAACAGAGCGAAGCCTGCATGGGAGCTTCCCTCGCGTTTCAGCATGTGGAATGAAAAGGTGAAATAGCGACCTTTCCTTGCAGAATAAAACACTCCCAAAACGTTCAGTTTTCACACCAGAAAAGTACTCCCACCATATGCCTGGCCTCACTAACAAACTGCATTCTTCAAATACAAGGTGCTTTTTTTCAAATCAAATGTTTTCTTCTGAAAATGGCCTGCTACTCCCGTGCAAGTCAAAGGCAACAGAGGCGCCTTGCGAATACGTCTTAGATTTATTTTTTTTAACCGTTAAATTCGGAGTTAGAGCATGCAGGTGCGTCTTAAACACAAAGGCACCTTATACTGAAAGGACTATGGGATTAAAACCAAGAAGGTTTTGCCTGCGCAAGCCAACGGCACCTATTTCGACCAAAAAGCAATTTCAAAGGAGTCTTTTGCAGGTTTAAAGCAGCTTTGTTTTGGTGTGGCAAGAGTGACAGGGAAGACATTTAAGCTAGCCAGAAACAGGCGGTGCTTAAACTAAAATAAAAGTGTTCACGCAGGGATTTGCACTGGTTTCAATAATCTGGCTTGAAAAAAAAGCCAAGTCAAGCCGGTACAACCTTCTGATGAGTTTAAGTCCCCCGACATGGAAATTCACAGCGCTCAAAACTGGACTAGTTGGATCTCTCTCGGGGAGTGATTTTCAGCTGGGCTCCTAAAGGTCGTGGGATTATCCTAGTCTTTATTTGCTTTAGCTGGTTTATTTTCTCTTAATTTTTTTTCTTTTTTTTTTTTTGGCGGGGGGTGGGAATAAACCCCCAAGACTGCAACTCGTTTTTAAAAAGTCCTTCAAAAAGAAAGCAACCTCTCTGCAATTCACAGCTCCGACTGGACGACGCTCACAGCGGTTCATTAAGCCGCGGCAGAAAGTAATTACCTTAAAACTGTGCACAAGGCAAAGCGCAAGAGGAGATCAACCCACCTCCTGATAATGAACCATATTAGAAAACCCAGAGCCACCCGCCTGCAGCACCCCAATTATTCCAGTGACCTCTCCAAGCAGGGCTGCTCTACCTGCTAGACTAAGAAGACATAGGGATGAATCATCCCAACCTACCGTGAATGTGGTTTCCGCTGGAGTTGTTTTGTTCCTTTACTTACCAAAGGGATGCGTGAAAAATGACCCCGGCTTATTTTGCTGCTAATTTAAGCAGGTTTTGCCCCACCGAGGGTGAAACTGGGAGAGGCTTTATGGCCTGCGTGAGGACGGAAGTCAGCCAAGGCTGACATCTCTCCAGCTGGGGGTCGCAAGACCCTTTCAGTGGGGTTGCGAGCGCCCGCCGGCATCAGCTCCGTTGACGCGTCACAAAGAAGTGCAATTAAAGGCCTGTTGTCACTCAACTCTATGTTCTGGGAGAGGCTCGTGCAGCTAGTTATTCAGAGGCATTGAAACCACACTACTTACAATGCCCCTCCTGGAAAAAGTTGATCTGAAGATCAACCTGTAATGGATTTAGCCTCATGGCACTCTTGGACTATTATCCCCATCATGCAGATGGAAGACATTTGTACTCTGGGTTTTCCTGATGTCCTTCCCCTGAGCATCTGGGCACCTTTCACACCAAATGAGCAGCATCAGAGAAGTCCCCAGTGGCTTCACAGGCTTTCCCAGATAATAATCTGCTGGTGGCATCTGGATTTTTTGGAGTAGGGGGTTCATATTATTAAATTGTCTTTATTCTTGAAGGTTGATTCCTTTCAGGGTAGATCGTTTTTGCTTGCTTGGGGTTTCTGGAAGGCAGGAGCCAGCCAGCCTGTATCAGTCCAAGGGTGGACATAAACGTTTGGATGCTCACCTTGCTGGGGTCATCTCACCCCGGCTGACTTCCTGCCCTTTGGGCAAGGGGCTGGAGCTGACGATCTCACGAGGTCCCGTCCAACCCTAATGTCTATGAAATTCATGAAATCTCTTTTTATAAAGGAAGGTGAGGCGCATAGGGCTTAAGCCCATTTTTAAAGGGGTACTGAATTTTTTGGGTTGCAAACAAGCATTTTAGCACCCCATTCTCTGCAAATCAGGCCCTCCATGTTGTCTTAAGGCAGGCACCCAATATTATTAGTCACTTTTCAAAAGCTCAGCCTATGTGTCTTGTCCAGGGTCATAAAGGGAGGGGGAGGCAATCTGTGGTAGAGCAGAATCACAGCCTTTCAAGTCCAAGGCTAACATGCTTACCACGGGCCCATCCTCCCATAGTCTAAACCAAATTTCTGTACCCAAAGGACCCCAAACTCTGGGCTGGGGGAGAGGGTTGAAGCCAAACCCAGATCTGGATCCAAATATTGCAAGTGAGGATTGTTTCTAAGTGGAACTTGTGAGCTCTTTCCAAAGGTCTCATGTTCCTAAGTGAGTTTAAACCACTACCAAGACGATGATTTACATTCATTTTTCAGCAGCGTCAGTGAAAGCACAAAGGGATACTGGGTCTTTGGTGTTTAAGGACTAGTGAATAAAAAATGTGAGAGGAGACAATCAAGTAAGAAAGCATGTGGGCAAGCTGGAGAGAGTCTAGTGGAGGGCAATGAAAATGGTTTGGGGGCTGGGGGTCATGACTTGTGCGGAGAGGCTAAGGGAACTGGGCTTCTCTAGTCTGGAGAAGAGAAGACTGAGGGGATTTAATAGCAACCTTTGACTCCCTGAAGCAGGGTTCAAAAGAGGACGGAGCTGCAGGGCCAGGTGACAGGACAAGGAGCAATGAGCAAGTTGCAGCAAGAGGAGTTTAGGTTGGATATTAAGAAAACCTCTCTCACAAGCTACCCAGAGCGGTGGTGGAGTCTCCATCCTTGGAGGTTTTTAAGACCTGGGTAGACAAAGCCTTGGCTGGGATGATGTAGTTGGGGCTGGTCCTGCTTGGAGCAGTGGGTTGGACTAGATGTGGCCTCCTGGGCTCCCTTCCTACCCCCATTTTCTGTGATAATATGATTCTAAGAAAAGGACTGCTGGAGTTGTGCTATGACCAAATCCCCTTTTATTTCATCTGGACTGTCATTAGTCATGTGCTCCAGGTCCCACCCTGGCAGCAGGAAATCATGGCAAATGAGGACATTGGGGAATTGGGGGAGAGGAAAATAAGCTCCCCAATGCAGGAGCGCACGTACCTTCCAGCTCTTCCTTCTCATAATGGATGTTGACAACATTGCTAGTCCCACCTTGATCCACAACCGCCTCTTCATCAGGTCTCTGTTTTAAAAAAAGGAAAATATTTAAGAAGACATGAGCTTATTTCTGGGCTAATGAGTGGTGTCCTCAGAGGCCCAGCTCCTGCCTCCATGTAAAGGATCTAACCTTTCTTTGCTTACAAGACCTCCCAATTGTGGGAAAAAAGCCAGCAAATGTGATGCAAACACACTCTGAAAGCAAAATCAATCGATCAGTCAATAAAATGTTTTTAACCTTATAAAGCTCATGAGTTTTCATTCCACTCTGGGCTTTGTGTGCAAACAGAAGCGGCAGTGCAACAAGGGTATGTCAAGGGTCCTACTCAGGGTCAACCCTAAAGGTTGCCTTCGCTAGATCGAAGCACACCCTCTACTTGTATGTCAGACCTTATGATCCCACAAAGCTGTGCACACTGAACTTCCTGTTCCTATTCCCCTGTACATCCTTTCTAGGAATCGGGCTCTCCATGGCTTGTCGCTCCACCTGGACTCGGCCTTAATCAGGGCAGCGGACACAGAAAGCGGGCTGCAGAAGGGCCCCAAAACAGGAGCAGGGGCCACATCTATACGTGTGCTCTGCTGAGGAGTAGAGTAATTAGTTGTGAAGTAAAGCAGCAGCGTCTGCACGTGCAGCAGTATTAGGCTGCAGTAAACTAAATGATGCCAGGGTAAGTTAGTACAGGCAGGGGACAGTACTATTTTACGCTGGGGTAATTTACTGAGATTAAACGCACATGTAAATGCTGACCGTGGGAGTAAATTGTGACCGTGGGAGCAACTCCTGCCTGGCTCCACAAGCTCTGCATCCTCATGCCCCAGCTAGCCCCTCCGCTGCCACCCGAAGCCCAGGGCTGACCCCCCTCTATGTTATCTGCCAACCTGGGCCTGCTCCACCCCAGCTCAAATTGCTGCTGTCCTGGGCTCACGTGTAGATGCTGCGCCCATCAGTAGTTTACTCTGACTCAAACTGCTCCAGAGTTTGATTCACATTAATTGCATGTGTAGACGCACCCAGGGAACTGCAGGTCAGCTGCTGGTGGACTTCTTTTGCTTGTGGTCAGGCGTGCTCTAAGAAAGGTTCAGGGCTGGGCAGGCGAGCTTTAGCAGTTGTCTCAGGATTTCTTAAGGCGAGGTTCATGAGACTACACAGAGCATCGTTTCTCAGATGCCGTGGCTTCCTCCGTTGTTACGGCTGACAACTTGGTTAACATAGCAGATGCTGGATGCTGGCTCTCCAGAGCTAAACACCGAGCCTCTACAGCAATGAGCTGTAATACACTCATCCATTAATGTGTTAGGCCTGCAGGGGGATTTCACATACTGACCACGGAGTTACAAGATGCTGCAATGCCCTGAATGAATCAGCCCAAAGAAAATTCATTTCTGTCTCACACGCCAAAGGAAAACAGCCGAATCGCATGCGAGTAACAATCAATAAGCGCAAAGAAGAGTCTTTCTTGTTTTTTCTTTCTCCTGGCATGAGAACCACAAGAGGGGATTACCCCTCTCTGTTCAAAGAACTAAAAACCAGCCACATTTCAGACTCACGCTACAACTGTGGCTTAATAAAGGGCCTTCTGGAAAAACTTGATAACATTTTTCCCCCTCTCTGTGCTAAATTGCATTTAGTACCTCTGCAGCAGCAGAGGAAAATACATCGCAGCATCTTCGTTTCCTCTCTGTGCCCAAGAAAGTTAGTTTTACTAATGAAGCCGGTAGAAGGTAGGGTAGATTCATACCTTATAGACTAACTGAAGCACGTGTGTGTATGTGAAGAGGCGCTGAGCATGTGGGCCCAAGGGCCCTGGCCCCCCTCGGGGACACAGCTGTCACCTGAAATGCATGAAACTTTTCACATGTCCATCATCTTAGCGCTCCCCCCACCCCGCCAACGAAAATAAAAGTCGGAGCCTTTGTATGTGTGTGTATACACACGCATGCACGTGTGTGTATACATGTGCACATGTGTGTGTGCATGTTGCACAACATATGAGCTGAAGCTCCCTTCATCAGATGCTGGGAAAGGATATGCAGAAAGCAGAATGAGTGAATCTGATGCCAACCTGTTTTAAATCAAACGGACCAAAGTCTGATCCCTGGTAAAAACCAAAGCTACTCCTTATTTGGAATGGCTTTCCTAATTAACCTAATACCTTTACATCACAGAAGACACTGGGCAATTAACTATGGTCATTTGTACACATGCACATGCCGTGCGCATGTGCAACATCAGAGGTGCTTTAGTTCAAAAGTGCACCACTTCCATTTTCTGTGTGCTGACGTGCATTTCGCCACTTATACAATTAGACTCTGCACACAACAGTTCGCATCAGCTTGTGTGCAGAGCAGATTTATCGAGTCTGCTCCAAAGTGGCGGATATCCAGCACATTGCAGGATGAAAAAGCATGTGCGTATTAATGTTCAATTAATGCACATTAGGTAATGTGCATTAAATCTAGTACCTCCATTGTGAGGTACTGGAAAAAATGTGTATGAGCATATTTTAATGTGCATTAGCTAAAGAGCATGGGCGTCTATGCATGTACGTGAAGGCTGCTCCGACGTGCTGCAATTCCAGTGGATTCAATTAATTGCCACGGTCCAACAGCCTCCTACATCTTGGGTATCAGAGGCCCTGCACTTCAAAATGGAGGTGGAGGTGCTTGAACTAAAGCTCTTCAAAGGAGCTTTAGTTCATGCACCCCCGCCACCGTTTTTAAGCATGGGAACGCTGATACAGGAGATGTAGCATCACTTTAATTATACTGGCTCTCAGAGCTGCTCTAATTAAAGCTCTGCCTCCCACCCCAGAGCATGTGTAAAAGTGCCCATGGGGTTTTCTGATGCTTTAATGCACATTAAAATAGGCTAACGCACGTTAAAGCACATATATAGACACACCCATTGAGGTCCTTTTTACTTCCCCTTTTGGGTTTCCTGTCAGACTCTTTCAGGATTCATTCACCTTTGCATGATTTCATTTGCAATCACGAGGGCTAGAAACGTTCCTAAAATATTATATTGAGGTTTTTACAGAACCATGCGACTCCAAGAGCTGTTTCTTTTAGAAAAACCCCATATCTCAATGTAGTTGCAAGGGCAATCATTGTAAATGCTGTTTTTCCTTATTATCTTCAAACCGGAACACTGAGCTTGATGTAAAAACTTGCAAGCTTTCAGCAACGTCTTATACTACCCCGTAGCGCATGAAGAGAAGCCAGAGGACTGATATCCAAGCCCAGCACGTTCCCGAGCATCGCATCCTTATGAGAACTTATTGTGCATGAATTTCTGGGTGGTTTGTCCCTTAATTTTGACAGAAAAACCCAGCCACACACCTGGAAATCACCGTTAGGACAAGAGTAGTTAGGACGTCCAGTCCAGGCCCTTGCATTTGCAAGCAAGGCTCATCTAAAGGGTCCGAAGTCACTCACCCCAACACCATCCCCCATCACAGCCACAAAGCACAGCACGGCAGCGAGAGTGAGAGTGGCTCGCTGCGTTTGGACGGCGCCAAATGCAATGCGGCCCGTATCTCACTTGGAGCCTTTAGGTTTCTCTGTGTTATTAAGAAGAAAGAAAATAACTGAGGATTAAGGGATAAGAAAATAAAAAGCAGCTGATCACCCGTGGGGTGGTTAGCAGATAAGAGCGCAGGAGTGGTACAAACGCATCGGAGAAGCCAGATTTGCATTGTCCGAGGATTACCTGCCCAGAGTAAGGCGATGCTAATTCAGCACACAGTTTCCCTTTGGTCTCTGATTCACTGTCAGCACAGCTACTTAACTCAAGCTACAGGACCTTGCTTTTAGCTCTGGCTCAGCCCGGTTTGTATCAGCCAAAGCGGTATCCGTCACACTGTGGTGCAGCTGGCCTATTTAGGATGGCAGCAGCATTGTAGGGTAGCTGGAGCCGTGACGGCTCGCAGCTCTCACACAGCTACAATTTTCTTTCTCCCATAGCAATGACACACTAGTGCGATCGACATTTTAATGGTGGGGGACAGTAGCTAAAAATAAAAGCCGGAGGTTGAGTTTTGCCTCTTCAGGGGGAAAGAGGCTTACCCTGGACATGTCAGCTTGTGCATCTATTCCTTGTTAATTATTATTTCGAAGGAGCATCGTTGTTTGCAAAGTGAAATTATTTCATAAGATACTCCTAGGTCGCATGACTAAAGGAAGCAGGACATCGGTGCAATAGCAGAAATGCTCCGATCTGAAAACAGGCATGAATGCTTCCTGCCCCCACAGGTACTAATTTCAGAGTAAACGTGCAGGAAAGCAGATTGGTACTGTTTTGATCGATTCATTCATGTTACCTAGCAGCAGACTTATTATAAAGAGCTGTTGATTTTCCACTGCCTAATTACTCCCGCAACTACCCCTGCCACTCCATGTCCCTTCTCAGCAACAGCTGCCCAGATAGCCCCTGGCAGGGTTTTCCAATCAGGCACAGAACAGCCTCAGATAAAGAGCGGTTTCATTTCTGAGACTTCATTGAGTTTCTGATTAGCATGTGCTGCATCCGGTCCTCTTAAAAGGGAAGCACATAAAAGCAACTCCCCTGAAACACTGCATCAAACCCAAGCACAATGTAAATTCAAAGATGTAGTCCCATCTCAGGAAGCCGACACAATTTCACTAGTGAAAGAGTCGCTGTACAACGGCCACTGAGCTTGCAAAAACGGTCGACACCAGTTCTGCATCAGTCGCTGTTATACGACTGCCAAAAAAACCTTGCCTGATAACTGATTTTTTTATCATTTACTGCAGTTCTGAAATAACACCACCTTGAAAGTGAACAATGGTTGCTATTCTAAAAAGTCAGGGGTTGCCAGCAGATGCCATGGGGCCAATACGTTTTTATTTTTTACTGCCCCAATTGCAAAGGAGAACCTGCAGCCATTGCAAATAATATGATGTGGGAACCTTTGGGAAATGCACAATATTTGGCACCAAACTTGAGGAAACGAAAGGGAGTTTAATCTGGCACAACGTGCTCCTTTTGACAGCTCTGTCCTT